GTGGGTCTTTTCGAGGACACCAATCTGTGTGCCATCCACGCTAAGCGTGTTACCATCATGCCCAAGGACATCCAGTTAGCCCGCCGGATCCGCGGGGAGCGGGCATAATTACTGCTTTTCTCTGAAATTTCAACCAAAGGCTCTTTTCAGAGCCACCCACGTTTTCAAGTAAGGGCTGTAAGAAACTAACTTTCCAACTCAAGTTCAGTATAACTGCATCTGCTGGGGAATGAAAAGACATGCATCAACACTTGTCGGATTATGGATAATTTTTGTCTAAATATCCACTGCGTATACGAACACACTGGCCCTTTATAAGTGTTTATGTAAATAGTACTGTTTTCTCTTACCTTAGTAAAGAGCCAGAGTTTCAGAGGCACGCGAAATGATTGGCATTTGCAGAGCATTTTAAAAACATAGCCTTGTGAGTATTGTGAAACAAGCAGGAATAGTAAGTATAAACACTTTTACGTTTCTAACTTTGATCTTGATATTTTTACGATTATCAAAATTTATTGATAATAAGTTTTCGCCTTTCTAAGTATTTCTTCTACTTAGGACATTTGGAATCATGTTTCCTCTAAGCCTAATTCCTCCAAGTACTGTAATTAAAACAGTAGCCCAGTCAAGGAAGCAAAGACTATTGGTCAAACTGACCTCTTCCCACCAGCCCCACCCTCCCCGCCCTTCCTGCCCTTCCGCGTGGGTTCCCGGGGCTTGGAGGCGGGATTAAGGGAGGGGACTGTTGGCGTCACACTTCCGGTTTGCGCGCTTTCCATTCTCTCTTTGGGGGGGGTTGGGCGGGGGAGAGGTGGTAGGTATATAAGGATCCGCTCTCCCTTTCTTTGTCAGTTGCTGTTGGTTTGCTTCTCTAGAAACCATGTCTGGACGTGGCAAAGGCGGCAAGGGTCTGGGTAAGGGAGGCGCTAAGCGCCACCGCAAGGTTCTGCGCGATAACATCCAGGGTATCACCAAACCCGCCATCCGCCGCCTGGCCCGGCGTGGCGGTGTGAAGCGCATCTCCGGCCTCATCTACGAAGAGACCCGCGGAGTGCTGAAAGTGTTCCTGGAGAACGTGATCCGGGACGCCGTCACCTACACCGAGCACGCCAAGCGCAAGACTGTCACCGCCATGGACGTGGTCTATGCACTTAAGCGCCAGGGACGCACTCTCTACGGCTTCGGCGGTTAAGCTTTCCGATTTCGTCATCAAGAATTAGCATTTCTCAACCAAAGGCCCTTTTCAGGGCCACCCAACTACTCATAAAAGAAAGCTGTAACCATTAGCCAAGTCACAGGAGTCTGCAGCTCAATGGTGTGGTTAAAATGAAAACTACTGAGTCAGAAAACATTGCGGAAATCAATGTCTGTACATATCCATGTAACTCCCACTCTCGCCTCCATTCACTGGACACAGGTAGGGGTGAAAGATGATACTCCAACTTACTAAAGAGAAGTGGAAAAGAACCAAGTTTGGCGAGAAACTTGAATCGGCTTGCAGGAACAGAGAAGCACTGCCCAATCAGCAAGCCCCATCCATGGATTTCAACCAATCAGAACTGATGATCTCGTGTGGTTCCCCGTGGCGACCCAAATTTGGGGGATGGGAAATCGGGCGAGAAATGCCAAAGCCCTTGTTTAGAGAATTTTTTTAATTTGTGTTTTTACGGGTTATGAAATAGACTCCGAGGAGACATCTGAATGGCTCTCAGTCATGTCCTGAGAACAGTACTGAAAATACCGCCGCTAATAGGATGATTTGTCTCGATTAAAAAAATAATCTCTAGGGCTTCCCTGGTGGCCCAGTGGTTGAGAGTCCGCCTGTCGATGCAGGGGACACGGGTTCTTGCCCCGGTCTGGGAGGGTCCCACGTGCCGCGGAGCGGCTGGGCCCGTGAGCCATGGCCGCTGGGCCTGCGCTTCCGGAGCCTGTGCTCCGCAACGGGAGGGGGCGCGGCAGTGAGAGGCCCGCGTACCGCAGGAAAAAAAAAAAGCGGGGGTGTGGGGAACCGAACCGAATTCAGACTGCCAGCAAACCCAGGGCATTGAATTCAGGCGAAATTAAAATCTCGTTTACGAAGAAAACGTGCTTCCTTCTCTTTCGGTGTCAACACAGCCCTCAGCAGTTAGCTGTACTTTTTTCCTTACTTCACAGAGGAATGGAAATTAGGGTGATGGAAATGTTCTAAAATTAAATAGATTGTAGTGATAGTTGTACAACTAAGTAAATATACTAAAATTCATTGAGTTGTACACTTAAAGTGGGTGAATTTTATGGTATGTAAGTTATATCTCAATAAAGCAATATTCATATATATATATATATACACACACATATATAATCACCAGGCAGGGTAGCAGGAGATTGTAGGGTAGGCACTGTTGGTCTGTGAAGAGGTTTTCTTGCTAAAGTTGAAAGTATGGCCTGCTTGGTCTAGTCTGTCATTATAGCCACAGGAGGTTTTTAAGCAAGAATGTCCCTAGTCCAATTATATGTTCCAGTAGCATACCAGACTTTAGAACTCAGCTGGAGAAAGGATGTGAATTCACTTGAAGTTGGCTAAAAGGGAAACAGCTTATCCTCATCTAAAAAGATATTCACAAATGCCTCTGTCATTGGGTTCCTTTTTGTATCATTTTTATAGAAGGCTGATTTCGGCCTCAGTGTGTTAGTTTCAGTCAGTATTTCTCCTAGCTTTTTTGGTCCCATTTCCCACCTGATAACTGTCCTCCAAGATTTTGGGGGGAATGATAAAAGTACAGAGCCTGGCTTAATTTAAACTGACAATGGGGAGAGTTCAAGGCTGCATTCTAGATGACCAGAGGAGCAAAAATGGGCCTGGTTGGGACATGGTCACTTTATGTTTTCCTTAGCTGGTGTCCTGGTGTCCGTCAGGAGATATGTATTGATTTCATGTAATGTGCCTGATACTGTTGTAGGCATTAGGGTACACCAGTAAGCAAATTAGAATTTGCTGTTCTCCATTCCGAGCGTATGTAATGAAGTGTGTGGATAGTTTTCCTACCCTGGAGGGAGGTGTGGTTGCTCCATAGACCAGCTTCTGTTATGGTTGGCCTGTCTTTTTTAGTTCATAAGCCGTGTAGATAGTATCACACTCATTTTAGTCACACCCACTACCTGAGTGAAAAACCTATGAGCCTTCCTCAGGCCTAACAGTCATGAAGTCCTTGTTCAGAACAAAGATAATGCTGCCTAATTTGCCACTCCTGCATCATTCCTAAGAGCCAGAGAAAACCTGGCATGCTGACTGATTCAGACAGTGCCAAGTCAAGGAATTGTAGATGGGGGATCAATTATGGCAGCCCTCTGGTGGGCTAGCGGGGTGGGAGAGGGCCTGAGCGCTTGTGTAGAAAATTCATGCATGCATTCATTCAACTCTGCCATGAAAGGACACAAGGGAAGACAGCAGTCTATGAAGCAGGAAATGGGTCATCAGACACCAGATCTGTCTGAATCTGTCCAGTGTCTTGATCTTGGACTTCAGTCTCCAGAACTGTGAGAAATGTTTGTTGTTAAAGCACACAGTCTATGGTGTTTTTATTATAGCAGCCTGAACCAAAACGCCATTTTATGGATATAGATAATATTTTATCTGGTCCCTTCTCATGACAATTTACATTGTTTCCACTCATTTACTATTACAAACAATGTGCTGCATTAAACCATGTTTAAGTTCTTAGTGATCTCATCCAGTCTCACCGTTTGTATGTTGATGTATGTTTTTATCTAGTCTAGACCTCTCACCTGAACTTTAGAATCTCGCTTTCCTAACCACCTGGTCAGGTGTCAAGAGAGAGACATTAGCAGAGTAACCAGGCACCAAAGTGTTTTCTAGAGCAGCCATCAGTACACCCTTTTCAAACATTAAACCAAAGATGCTGATTATTCAGTTAGCTGGTTTATCAATTTGAGGACATACTTTAAAAAACCTTTTATAATAACCATACTGTCATGTTTGAAAGTTCCATTAAAAAAAAATACAGTTTACTGCAGACAGAAGAAAGAGATGAGCTGGAAGGAAGGTGAAGGTGCAAGAGAGCCACCTAAGAGCCACTTAACCACAAAGGAGGGAGCTTCTCCCTTACAACCTCAAAGGCCCTGACAGAGGCCTAAGGGGTTCAGGACAGACTCCCTTAGTCTAGTAAATGGGAATTTACAAACTCTGCTTAGCTAGAGGCTTAGGGAGGGCCCCCAGCCTGAGGATGAAAATCAGCAATGCCGAGGCATTTTTAAACCCGAGATCACTGGCTTTACGGGGGGGTGACGACACTCAGCATGATGCCTGGTTCAAACTCTAGAGGTACCTGAGGCCAAGGTCTGGCGCGCGACCCAGCGGAGGACGGGGAGGTGCTGGGAAGGGAGAGATCATAGAAGGCAGATCTTTCCTGACATTGCTAAAAGCAAATTCACTAGGAACTAACAGCTGGCGTCTTGCTGGCAACGTATTTTAATTGATCTGGCTTCTGACTTCTTGGGAGCGAAGCAGCACCCTCGCAGGTTCTGGCAATTTGTACAAATATTTACTGAACCCTCCCAGGACCAAAAAGATCGGCAGCGATTCAGTAATGCCCGCTTCCCAGGAAAGAAACTGCCTCCTCGACGAAACTCCGGCTGGCAATTTTTGCTCCTTTTACAGACGATGTGGGGTAGGCAGGATCCCTCCCACTAGAAAAAGCCGGGAACGCCGGGCCATAAGTCATTCATTGAGGTTACCGGGACTTCCAGACCCCTCTAATTAGCTTTCCTTAGTCCAGTGTTAACCCCACCCGCAAGCGAGCCCTTGCAGCCTGATTAGGCGAAGATACCCCTACCCTTAGTAGGTGCCGAAAGATTGGCTAATGGAGACCGGCAGTGAAAGCGAACCGTTTGGCCAGTAGGTAAGGCCACGTTAGCCTTAAAACTGACGTTTTTTTTTTTCCAACAGATAACGTTTTGAACACCGAAGTCGCGTACAGCTCTTCCTGAGCGGAGGTGGGCGGCCCTGAAAAGGGCCTTTATAAAAAATGTATAGAATGAAACTTTAGCCGCCGAAGCCGTAGAGAGTGCGTCCCTGGCGCTTGAGCGCGTAGACCACGTCCATGGCGGTGACAGTCTTGCGCTTGGCGTGCTCGGTGTAGGTGACGGCGTCCCGGATCACGTTCTCCAGGAATACCTTCAACACCCCGCGGGTCTCTTCGTAGATGAGGCCGGAAATGCGCTTCACCCCGCCACGGCGGGCCAAACGACGGATGGCTGGTTTGGTAATGCCCTGGATGTTGTCGCGCAGAACCTTGCGATGGCGCTTAGCGCCTCCCTTACCCAGACCCTTGCCGCCTTTGCCGCGTCCAGACATGATCGCCTAAATTATCGCAAACGTACAGGATGCAACAGGTTACTGCTCGGTCAAGAGTAATTATAAGCTAGAGTCGGACCTCGTTGAAAACTGAAAGCGCAGGCGGGAAAAGAGGCACTGACAGCGCCCCTTTGGCTCCGCCCCTCTCGGCAGTGATCCAACGACTATGTGGGAGAGAGATTAAACTCTGGATTGTTTTGCTCCCTTTGCTGTGCATCTGAGGCTGTTTATTTCTTCGGCTGAGAATTTTAGTGGAGGCTTATACAGTATTTTATGGCAAATACTGTACTTTCTCATTCAGGAGGAAGTGATTGTTAGTTGCTAAGGGTAGCAGAATATGACTTCCCATTCCCCCACTCCCATATGCTTCTTTGGCAGGAGGGGTATTTTTGAGCTGATTATTTTTTTAAAAACACCATACACAAAAACATTTCTGAAGACAGAGTAGAATTTACTCTTTTGTGAGGGACATTTACATTTATAAAGGGAATTTTAATTTGTGTCTTTTTCTCTGTACCGGGAAGAGAAGGATGACTAAATCACCAGAGAATCGCATCAATGAGGAGGCACTAGACTTAATTCTGTATAATAACCTTACCCTCGTTGTTCCTTTTCCTGGTAACCTCTCATAACTGGCTCCCACCCACTTCTTAGCTGAAGATGGTATTTAAGGTGGTGGCTTGGGCCAATTTTGGGAGTTTACTCAGTTTTTTTAGGTATTTCTCAAGCCTACGTGAGGTATACGTTATTAAGCTTCTGTTTGCTTTTCTCTTGTTAATCTACCTTTTATACAGTGGTTCTCAGCCAAGAACTTAGAAGGCAGACCTTCACGTACAAGGTGAGTAGTGGGACATCACAATCCCTTACAGGACTGAGAAAGGAATGTTATCCCCTAAGGAGTTACCTTGCTGGAACCAGGAGAAAATTGCTCTTTTCAATGAAGCAGGCATTCCT